TTATCAATGCTTGCTTTACAATCTTTACAACTGTCTTTACAACAACAATTGTTGCCAAACACTAAAAGTAGCAATTCACAGTTAGATAAATAGCATTTGGCAATCCTGATTTGGCATCTGATACCTTAATTGACTAAAACTCAATCAGCACTTAAATAAATAATCATATTTTGAGCACGTGATACCTTGAATATGTCTTATTAACCTAGTTAGCATTTGCATAAAAAAAACAGCTAACATTTATTTATCTTTATTGCAACCAGGAGAAAGCACTAGAACAACTGAAGGTGACAGAAGGCAAAACAGTTGCTGTAGGCCAAAGAATGGACTTAGTATTTTACACTCTACAAATGGGTTTCTTCTACATGGATTTTGATCTTATATCAAGAAGCATCGATAAAGCAAAGAAGTGAGTTGTACTTCTTCTCTTGATTCAAATTCCATTACTTTTTTCCTTGAATTCTTCATAACCCTAATTCTGAAACTGTGATTGCAGCCTTTTTGAAGAAGGAGGTGATTGGGAAAGGAAGAACAGACTGAAAGTGTATGAAGGGTTGTACTGCATGTCCACTCGCAACTTCAAGAAAGCAGCTGATCTTTTCCTTGATTCCATATCAACTTTCACTACTTATGAACTTTTCCCATATGACACCTTCATATTCTACACTGTTTTAGCCAGCATTATATCTTTGGATCGAGTTTCCCTTAAGCAAAAGGTAACCCGTAACGTAACACTCCTTTTTCATTAATTTTATATTGAATTGTTTTCCAACTTTTTCTCTAATCTATGCAGGTTGTGGACGCACCAGAGATTCTGACAGTGATTGGAAAGATTCCATTTTTATCAGAATTTATGAACTCTCTGTACGAGTGTCAATACAAATCATTCTTCTCTGCTTTTGGTGAGTTTATGTTATAACTTTTACATGTTGATGAGGGTTTAATTTAATAATTTATTTATTTGCAGCTGGGATCACTGAGCATATTAAGTTGGATCGTTATTTGCATCCACATTTCCGTTTTTACATGAGAGAGATCAGGACAGTTGTCTATTCTCAGTTCCTGGAATCTTACAAGAGTGTCACCATTGAAGCCATGGCAAAGGCATTTGGTGTCACAGTTGATTTCATTGATCTGTAAGCAAGTCTATCTCACATTATTTTCATTGATGAGGGTATATTGGTCTTTTTTAACGACATGTGTGTGAATATGGTGGGGGAAACAGGGAGCTGTCACGATTCATTGCAGCAGGGAAGCTTCATTGCAAGATTGACAAAGTAGCAGGTGTTTTGGAAACCAACCGGCCGGATGCAAAGAATGCTCTTTATCAAGCAACCATTAAACAAGGAGATTTCTTGCTCAATCGCATCCAGAAGCTCTCTCGTGTTATCGATCTTTAAATCTACTCTTTCTGTCCATTTTCCCCAATTCAAGACTTCTCCTAGTAACAACTACTACAAGACTCCTCTTTTGTAATAGTTTGTTTTCAGTGTTATGTTTTTTTATGGTGTATCATGATTCTTATATACCATTCATTACCAGTCCATGCATGTTGATATTGAATTGCTGATTAGTGAGGCTAACTATGAATTCCATCATTGGTTGTTTTTTTTGTTTTGGTTATATTTCTATCGTCCAACATCTCCTACTTAAAGTTTTGATTGAGAGATTATGATTCGTTTCCATCTCAATCAATCGTGTAACCTTTCCTTTCAACTTGTTTAAGTATCAAACCACAAAATTTTATTGTTTTGCTGTTAAAAAGACAATCCCTTTTATTTTAAACTTGATATTTGTTATGTGTGAAGGAGTAATGTATCATTTTAAATCATTTCATTAATTTTACTTGTCTTGCAAGTAAAGCATCGTTAATCTGTTGTATTTGATATCTTCTTCATTTGTTGAGTTATCTTGTGGTAAGGTTAAGACATGTTTAGAAGAACTAGGTTTAAATGTATTCCTTGGGAATTGTAAAAGAACTAATTTGTGTCATTAGATTATCTAGATCAATGGTTATACACGAAAAGAGTGTTATTTTCATAACCATGGATTTCTTTATTTCTTATAGCTAATTCTAAATGCAAAAATAAGTTACTCTAGTTATTTGTTAGTATTAGTAATGTTTAATTGAAACAATCTATTTGTAAAACGAATATTTTCTAAATTGATAAAAGATGCTAATACAAATTTCATGGAATTCTACATTAAATTAAGATAAAACTGTAAAATTTGTTCGGTTTGTAAAAAAATATGGATAAGGTTTAAAAAATCTCCAAAAGATCCATAATCCGAAATTTTATGTGGTTTTAGTCCTGAAAAGTTGAAAGGACAATTTTGTCATTTTCTGTATTTTTTTAATACATTATTAATTTAGTAAAAAATAAAAATAAAAAATGGTTCTACTCGGAAATTTTATGTGGTTTTAGTCCTTAAAAGTTGAAAGGGCAATTTAGGTGGAGATGGAGGTGGCAGACTGTGGTGGTGACGGACGGTGGTGGTGGCAGGAAGATATTCTTGAGAGAGAGAGAGAGTATTTTCTTTTTCTTTTTAATTATTGTAATATAAAAAAATTGAAAAAGAAAATATCAAGGGCAAAATCGTCATTATAAAAAAATTAAAACCAAATTGGATCAAACTCACAACAAAATGAAAAGTTTGAACCTCTAGTGCTAATCCAAATTTTTTTAGACCAGAATGGTAATTTTCAACAAATTTTATCATTTTGATTTGATATGGGGCCACCTAAAGATTCGACCTACTTTTATATATTATATAAATTTCAATGTTTTGTTCATTACTAAAGTGCTAAGTGCAAAGTCGAAAATAGAAATATAAATTAGGGAAATTAAGTGATCTAACTGACCATTATAGATGGGGTTTTCAAGAAAAAAAAATTAATCATCTTTTTTTAGTTTTTGAAAAAAATAGTCATTTTCTCTGGAATGTCTTCATTCCGGAGTACCGTTCATATTTCAGATTTATTTATTTATTTTTTAATTTTCAAAGAAATCTTTTTATATTTTTTTGGGATTCCGAATGCTAAATTTCGAAATGTCTAATGTTATTGTTTTTCAATAAAATATATAATTTTATATACTAATATAATATATAGTTCACATTATTATGTTTGTTTAATTTTTGTTAAATTTAAGTAAAATACAATTTTTTTTTTGAATTTTCGGAATTGTTCTTCGGATTTTGAACTTGTTATTGAAATGGTCCGGAATCCGGAATTGGTAAAAAAATGTTTTTTCTTGATCCGGAATATCAATTCTAGACTAAATGGTTATTTTTGTTATTATTTTTGTTATTTTCTTCAAATACAAAATGGTTAGAATGTTAGATTACTTAATTTCTATATAAATTATTATTAATTAATCCGTTCACTTTAGTCCAAATTACATTTTAGTCACCGGCGTTTGGTTTTCATAACACTGTTGGTCCCACTATTTCAGTTGTTGTAAATTTGGTCCCTATTTCAAACTAAATTAACATGGTTGGTCCTGTTAGTTTCTTACTATCAAAAAGCCTCATGCGCATATGTGCATGGCACATGAGGGTATATTGGTCCTTTTTCCATTCTCTCTGCTCTTAATTCTAACTGATTTCTTTTCTTTTAACTTTATCTTCTTCCTTTCTTGAGGGACAATGCAAAAGACCAAAACTTTAAACTTGTATAACACCTAATGGAGGGAATTCTTGGATTCATAAGGTAACAACCGGAAGAATCTTGAAATTGCCATTTTGCCAACGACCACCAGATTAATATGATCGGAACACACGTACAAAACATTTATCAACCAATAAGCTTTAGTTTCTATTTGAACTTTGTGCTCCTAAAGGTGATCATAGTTTTAAGTTAATTAGTATTTTCTCTATGAATCTAAACATACAGAACCAAGTACACATGCAACTCCATACTTATGTTGAGTCAGAGGAGACTGAATTACTGTCCAAATCCAAATTAACAAAGTATTATAAATTCTAAGCAAAATCAGACTCACATAATTGTCTATACAAACAAATACACATAATGGCGAGCCATTGTCTACCATTCATACGGAATTAAAAATCGAATAAGTTGACAGGCGTAGATGAAATTAGAAACTAGAAACTAGAAACTTGATTAACATTCATCATTATATAGCTATTACAGTTAGCAAAGTGTCATGAACATTGTGTTTATCATTTTTTAATCGTTTTAGACATGATTTATAAATAGTCTATGCTATATTTCTTACAAAATAACTTGTAGCTGGACAGTTAGTACTTCTCCTTAATTTGCATGGAGGTAGGAGGCGTTGAGATCAAATCCTCTCTCCACATTTTTTTTGTACGCGGGTCTATATAGACACAATATGAAAAGACAAAACTAACCTTATGTGCATGGCACATGAGGGTCCTTAACAATAGGAAACTAACGGGGGTTGGTATCAAGGACCAACCATGCTAACTTCATTCGAAATAAGGACTAAACTTGCAACAATCAAGATAATTGGAACAATAAAAAAAAAGAGAAATTAAATATCCTCCTACATTTTGTTTTTATTTTTCTTCCTATTTATCTAAAATGATGACAAATATACAAATTTAACATCTCAATCAAATTTAAATTAAATTTAATGATATTCGTCACCGTCTAAAATAGATAGGAAGATAGTAGGAACGAAAAATATGATATTTAATTTCTCTAAAAAAAACTTGCAACAATCAAGATAATTGGATCAAGAATGTTATGAAAAACAAACATTAGGACCAAAGATATAATTTACTCTAGACATTATTTATATATAGATAATATACAAAGGAAAAAAAGTCAAGTTATTTAAATTAAAGTTCAAATTTCAGTCAATTACTAGGAAGACATATCAACGCAAAGCCATAGTTGAACCAATTTACAAAACTTAACAAAAATTAATTTAATTTCCAATTTTGTATACTATAAACAAATTGAAGTTGCTTAATACATTGTTGTTAACGAAATATTCCAATTTCCATCCGTTAATAGCAAATGGGCTAACCTCAAAATTTTCATAATTTCATTGCTATTTGCCTCACGCAACAATAACATCGCTTGGATTTAAAGAGAAGAAAACCCCAAGAACACAAGCGAAAGTTGACCATTTCGGCTTCAAATCGAAGAAAAACACCCAACTCTCCTTCTGGTTTCATCTATAATTTCACGAACAAGTTCAAAAGAATCCCAAAAACAAAGACCAGTAAAAGAATGGCTTGTGTAGATTTCAAAGAACTTCAAGAGAAATTATCTACTCAGTTTAGACCATGGCAACGATCCTTCCAATTCTGGGCCAGGGCTGCTGATATCTATGCTGGTTATAAGGTGGGGCACTGATAATTCTTATTCTTATTATTATTTTTTTTTGGTGTATCTTTTTCAGGGTGTTGACTGTTTTCTTGATTTTGGGTGTTTTTGGATGTGTGTTTTTAGGTGTTTCAAGTTAGGGTTAGTTTTGAAAAAGATGTTGAAAAGGCAGAGGTAATGTGGGAGAGACATCATGAACATGCTGCTGACAAACTTTATTCCATGTGCTATGATATGGGTGGATTCTTTCTCAAGGTTACTTTTAAATTCTTCACCTTTTTTTATCTCATGGGTATAAACTATAAAGAGTCTTTATGCTAAAAAGGCTGAATCTTTGTTGCTCACATTTTCTTTAACGTGTGTTACTATTTAGTATTTAATATTTATGCCAATTTATGGACCAATAAGGGGTTTCTGAATTTGGTCTGATTTCAAGATTTTGTTTGAACTTTTAATCATGGGTATTGTTCTTTATTCCATTTTATAGACTATAAAGATGCAATTAAAATTAGGGTTCTCAAATTTGGTAGAGTATAATTATAATTGGGATGTGAAATGGGGTTTATGAATTATGATTAGGTTGCTCAAGTTGTTGGGAAGCCTGATTTGGCTCCAGCTGCATGGGTGAGGAAGCTAGTGACTTTGTGTGATCAAGCTCCTAAAACCCCATCTAATGTGGTGAGGCTTCTTCTTGAGAAGGAGTTGGGTAAAAGCATTGAAGAGATGTTTGAAAGATTTGAATGGGATCCTATTGGCTCTGCTTCAATTGCACAGGTATGGAATTCTGTTAAAATGGAAGTAGGATGCTATATATAATACACAAATAAATATGAAAGTGTATGTTGCTATTCCATGTAGGTTCATCGAGCTAGGCTGAAAGGTGATAAGAAAGATGTTGTTGTGAAGGTACGTGTGCTTTAAGGCCCCGTTTGGTACCAAGGATAGGACTGAACATGTCAGTCTTTGTACTGTGTCTGACATGCATTAGACTGGGACTGATACTTGATGTCAATAGGACAAAAATTGTAATTTTTGATGTTCCAACTATTAAATGCTTTGTAGGTACAACATCCTGGTGTTCAAGATTTAATGATGACTGATCTTCGAAATTTACAAGCTTTGGCTTTATGCTTACAAAAGACGGATCTCAAATTTGACTTGTTCTCTGTGTGCAAAGAAATGGAAAAACAGGTTTGTTCTTTAGAAATCCAAGAAATCACATGATTTGAATGCTAAAAGTTTAGGTTTAAATAAATCACCAAAGTTTCATAAATAGGGTAAATTTAAAAGTTAGTTGTTTTGTTTTGTTTATGTGTATAATATTTATGCGGTTCAAGATAGGGTATGAATTCGATTTTACAAGAGAAGCTCTTGCGATGGATAGAATTAGAAATTTTCTTAGTGAAAATAACAAAAAGATGCTTGTTAAAGTCCCACGGGTAATCCGGGATGTTGTCACAAGGTGAATAATGATCTTTTAATTACATTATTTTAAAATTTAACTTTATTCACTTCTCATAGTTATTTTTTGTTTTAAAAATTTGAGTAGGAGGGTGTTGGTGATGGAATATATAGATGGAATCCCGATATTAAACCTAAAAGATGAAATAATGAAAAGAGGAATAAATCCAGATGGTAAGATCGCAGTGGCAGCAAAGCAGTAAGCTCCATAGACCTTAAGAGTATGAGACTTTTGTTGCAATAAACACCTTTCAACTATTGTACATATGCAACTCTAAATTAAACTATCTTTAAATGCAGGAACATCTTGAAAAGTTTGAGTCTTGCTTATGGACAAATGATACTCAAAAGTGGTTTTTTTCATGCGGATCCTCACCCTGGAAACATTATCATCTGTAAAGGCTCACAAGTAAGTAAGAAACCAAAAGCAATCACTGCTAGATGATATTTTCAACTTTTGTCATGAGATCTTGTAACCTTAATTCATTCATTCTATCATATTAAAATGCCATGTTTTAGATTCATTCATGTAACATTGATCACAATCTTTCTTGCTTAGGTTGCTTTGCTTGACTATGGACAAGTCAAAGAACTTCCTAATTCCTTGAGGCTTGGTTATGCTAATTTAATTCTTGCTATTGCTGATAATGATCACATAAAGGCATCTGAGGGCCTTAGGTACTACTAGCCTTTTTTTTTTTTTTTTGAGTGAATCTCAAATTGCTAAAACAACAAAAAAATCTAGATCTACATTGATTTCATAACAATTAGTAAAACTGTAAGAGAATTGATTGATATCATGTTTAAACAGGGAGCTTGGGATAAATACCTTAAGCCTATGTGATAATGAAAAGGAAGAATTGTTTAAGCTGGCTCAGGTTATGTTTGACACGAAGCTGCCACCTGGAGTGAAGATGTTGCAGCCTTATGCAGAGGATGCCACGTTGAAGAAGGTTGCTGTTCAGGTCTGTGACTCTGTTTGTTTATGGGAGTTAATTATCTCCATCGGAGGAATTTCTGTTTAGCTCATTTATTGATGTTCATTAATAGGCCTTCCCGGAGGAGCTGTTTTCCGTTCTACGAACGGTGCATTTGTTGAGAGGACTTAGCGTCGGTCTAGGACTGAATTACTCGTGTGCGGAGGAGTGGCGGCCAATTGCGGAGGAAGCTTTGTATCATTCCGGCAGACTAAAAGGTTTGATTGTACCGTACAAGTCTGTAATGCGCGTGACATTAAGCTACTAATTGTGATGTTTAACCTCTTTTCTGCTGTTTCAGATGAGAATCTGAAGTCAAGGAACCGTCGGAGGCGGAGGTTTCTGAGAAGATCGTCGGGGTGGAGGAAGTAGAGCTGGGAGCCACCGCTGTCTTGTTTCTCCGACGACCGTAGTTGCTAGTTATAGATCATTTCGTTGGTATTGTGTTTGATGAACATCATCCATTTGTTAGGATGATTAGGTCATCGTTTTCTTCATTTTGTCAGGTAAGAACTGAGAGAGTAAAAGAGCCACAACCGAGTTGCAGGGATTTGGAAACGATAACGTTATAGTAACTTTGATTAATTTATTATTTAATGCATTCAAATTCATGGAAATAAAAAAAAATAAAAAAATAAAAATTCTTGCTTATTTTTATTTGAGAAAATTACAAAAATGGGTCCTACTATGAAAATTGTTACTTTAGTCCGAAAATGTTTGGATTAGCATCACCCGGTCCGAATCTTTCATTTTGTTGCGGCTTTGGTCCAATAACTTAATATTGTTAATTATGTTTTGTCAAATCTTAATATCGTTAATTATTTTCTGTTAAATCCTTATAAAATGCCAATACTGTCCCTGTTAATATAACCACCGTCTCCATCTTCTTTTCCTTCCCTTCCGATTAAAAGCCTCCCCCAAACGATACTCGTTCTCTCTCTGTCCCTTTTTTCTTGTGAATCAAACTATGAAATCATTAACAGAAGTTCACGATTTTGTTAGAAATCAAAATAAGTTCTTATATAAAACGGAATAATAACTCTAAGGTTTGTTGTATTCTGCTTCTATCCACGAGCTTCAATTGATTTCAGATGTATTTGTTTACATTTTTTTTTTCAGATGAATTTTCATGGTTTGTCTCAAAACAAGAGAGATACCGAAATGAAAATGCTATTTTTAGGGATAGGGGAATTCAGGAATTGCTTGAGCAAGCGGTTATGATAACAGTAACTTCATAAGGTCACACGTGCTCTCTACTCAACACATGTCTAGAAGACTCTTTCTCAGTCAACATGAAGTCTTAGTGTACTACTACTACCTTGTATTTAGGATTATAGTTGTACTAGCCAGTAAATATTAAATCATTGTATGTGTTGTAATACACACATAGAAAACTATCAATACACTTCTATTTTTTCTGTCTCTTATATGGTATCAAGAGCCAGTTAAATTTCTTTGTCTCTTATATGGTATCAAGAGTCAGTTAAATTTCTTTTTTGTCTGTTCCTCCATGGCTACCAATCATTTCTTACTCGGTCTTGCTGTCAATTCTTCACTTAATTTTCAATTTCCGTCCATTAGCATCAAGCTAGACCGTGACAACTATTCTTTATGGCGATTCACCATCATATCAGCTTTTGAAACTTTTGAATTGGAAAACTTTACCCTAGCCCAAATCCCTTATCGAAGACCATTACTGTCTCCCCCACCGAAGGTCCTCCCAACACAGAACCTAATCTCGAATTTATCCTTTGGAAAAAGAAAGATATGTTCATCTTATTGTGGCTACGATTGACACTCTCTAAACGAGTCCTAGCAATTATAGCTAATTGTTCTTCTTCTCATCAGACCTGGACGACTATTGAGCAAACATTTCATGCCCAAACTAGGGCCTGACGCATATCCATGAAAGCGAGCTTTAGACGCTTTCCAAAGGCTCTCTCTCCATGCTTGAATATGTGGAAAAGAAACACACCATCGCTGATTCGTTGGCTGAAAATCTTACCCCAATTTATTTTAAAGACCTAATTGGTCATATTCTTGGTGGATTGGACTCGTCCTACGGTCCTTTCATCACCTCCTTTATGGCCAAAGATGGCCAAGCTACTGTTGATGACCTCCTCGGCATGTTGTTGTAAGAAGAAGCTCATCTGGAGCATGGACATCTTCGTCAACCACCGGTCAACCCACTTCCGACTCCCACATCATCAAATTCCGTTGGCTCTCACCACACATACCGTGTCAAATCGCTCACCCTCTACTGTAACGCCCCGTTTTTCGTATTATTATTTTTTTAAAAAGGTTTAACAAATGCAGACGATAATTATACAAATTAGAAAGATTCCTGGAATTAATAAATGACAAAACTTCAAAAATGGTCCCTGTGGTTTTCGAAAATATCAAGTTTAATCCCTACGTTCAAAAAACCACACGGATCGTCCCTATGGTTTCAAAACTTTTAACATTTGGTCCTTCCGGCTCACTCCGTTACCATTTAGCCGTTAAGTAAGGGGTATTTTTGTCATTTCACTACCCAAGGACCATTTATGAGGTTTTGTATTACTTTTTTTAAAATAAATAAATAAATAAATAAAATTTAATATGCAAGGGGTCCCACCTCTCTCTCTCTCTCTCTCTCTCTCTCTCCGATTCACCGGTGGAAGAAACAACCACCGGAGATACCAATTTCTGGCCTCCTCTCCGGTCACACTCTACCACTTCCCACTGCCCACACACCACCTGCTGCCACCACCGTTTTGGTCGACTAAGCCCCACCGCCATAAACCACCACACTCTCCTCCTTCGATTCCTTTTCTATCAAGCAAGTTGACAAACACCCTTGAAAACCTGTTACTGCTTTCCATTTTCCTTCTGTGTTGTGAACCACTAGAAGCAAGAAAAGCCAACAGTAGGGCTGCCACCCACTGCCACAAAACCGCCACCATTTCACCGTTGTTCTTCTTTCAATAAACCACCCACACAACCTCCAGCCACCTGTCGTTGCTTCTCGCTATCCCTTCTTGTGGAACTCGCTGGAACAGAAACAGAAATAGAGCAGCAGAAGGCTACCGGAGCAGCCCCCAGCTACATACCGCCACCGCCGTTCTGCTGCTGCTGGTAAGCCATCGCCACCTCTGCCAACTTGAATCACATTGTCGAGACTTGTTGATTTCAACTGAGACCAAGAGACCCAACAAAGGGTCCCGATTTCCTTCTTGTGCATCCTGAAATCGCGATCAGTTAACCAAAGAGACCCAACGATGGGTCTCGATTTTTGTTGAATCTCAAACCTGCAAATCATGATAGGTAACGAATCTGGTTGAAATTGGGGGTGTGTTCTTGTGTTCACTGTAGTAACAATCACTGTGGTGCCGATCAAGGGGGTGTACCACCGATGCTCGATCAGATTGAAGAATGAAGAAGAATGGAAGTGACAGTTGTCGTTGATTTCTTCTTTGACTTGGGCTGCTCCGACAGTTCTCAATTGTCTTACTTCTGTCCGGCGATGAAACTCGAAGGGAGGGGCAGCTGTAGTCGCCGATCAAAGTAGGGTGTTTGGGGGTTGAGCTTCGACGGGAAAGGTGGAGAGGGGGTTAGATCAGAGGCGGCAGTCCCCATTCTTCTGCTTCGTTTTTCCGGTGAACCAAGGAAGAAAATAGGATTGGGGTTTTTAGCGGCTGTGAGGGGGTGTTTGGGTGGAGCCTCTTCGACAGGAACAATGGTGTAGAACGAGGGAGGTTGTTGCCTCTTCTTGACCAGAAATACAACCTCATGTGGAGGTTTCTTCAACCATGAGAGAGAGAGAGGGTGGGGCCCTTTAATTAAATAATTATATTTTTTTTTCTTTTTTTTTAAATAGAGAAAACCTCATAAATGGTCACTGTGTATTGAAATGACGAAAATGCCCTTCACTTAACGGTAGAAAGCTGACAGAGTTAGGCGGAAGGACTAAACATTAAAAGTTTTGAAACCACAGGGACGATCCGTGAAGTTTTTTTAACTTAGGGATTAAACTTGATATTTTCGAAAACCGCAGGGACCATTTTTGAAGTTTTGTCTTAATAAATTAATAAACTGCCCCTTAGACGTGAAGCAAAAAAAGTGTATGCCAAGGAATGGAAAATGCCAAATATAAAGTGAAAAGACATGCCAAAAGAAAAAATATATATATATCATTCAAAATCATGTTACATGACAACAAATGTGAAAACAACCCAAACATTTAAAAGCTTCCTTGGGATCTCCCTAATTTAAATGTACTTATGTACATATACATATACTAAAAAATGCTAATAACTTAGGATAATATTAGTAAACGAGGGTATAAATAATGACAAATATCCGATAAAATCTTAATATTTTGGAACAGTTTATGGTTTAATTCCAACTTTTACTTTTTGAACAGAAAAGTCCCGATTATTTTATATTTTGGCCAAATTAGCGAAATAATCATTATTTTTTTTCAAAAGAAAATGACAATTTATCGTATAAATATAGATAATCGAGACTTTTCTGTTCAAAAATAAATGTTGAGATTAAACCGTAAACTGACCTAAAATATTGAGAGTTTATTAAAGATTTCTCATAAATAATCCCCAAGAATGCTAATAACTTCAAATAATATTAGTTCAAAGCGAAACAAAGTTAAGATATCAAAACGTAATCAACCACCAATGAATTATCAAACCATTACCGACTTAATTTAACTACCACGTTTTCAGTTTAGTTTACTGTGTGCTTTAGTTTAGAGTTTAAACCATAAAACAAAGTATGTTGTTGTTCTTGTTTTTTAAATAAAAAAACTACATGATGTTTGTACTTAGATAAAATATAACATATTATAGTACCTTTAAACGAGGGTATAATAATCCCTAGAATCCAAATAGCTTCGAATAATATTAGTTCAAATCGAAATATAGTTAAAATATCAAAATGTAATCAACCACCAACAAATTATCAAAACAGTAAATATATACACATAAAACATAAAAAATGAAGTCGTAAAAAGAATTATAGAAAAAATATAAAAACGAATGAACACACTATTAAAACTTTAGAGGTTATTATACACCTAAAAATTTCCAGTGAACTTAATGGATGAAGGAGTCATTCCCTCTCAACCCACTCAACCCAATACTACATCAAATTTTTTTCTTTTTTTTCTTCATCTTTCCTAACCCACAACATACGGATTCCTATCTTTTTCAACCCATTCAATTAAAAAAATATAAAAAAACTAAGGTACAAGTCTTAATTAACAATAAAGCTACCGGTGGTATATTCAAGATACCACTCCCTCTTCAGTGGGTTGGTAGTGATGGGTTGTTTAATTGGTTTCACTAACCAGTTTAATCCTCTCTGTCTACTTTCTTTCCCTCATTTTCTCTTGTACCATATGTTTTAAGATTTATACCTTAGTTGTTAAATATATATTTTTAATTGAGTGGATTGAAAAATATAGAATTTTCATGTGTTGTGTGCTGAAAAAGATGATATAAAAAAGAGGAAAAAAAAGCTGATGTGAAAATGAGCTTAATGGGTTGGAGGGAATGACTCCCTCCTCCCTAAGTAACCAAAAAAATAAAGTTTAATGATAATAGATAACCAAAAAAGACAAAATTGCAAAAATGGTCCATGTAGTTGGCAAAATTATGTGGTTTTGGTCCAAAAAAGTTTAGTGATGCATCAGTGGTCCAATTTCGGATACTTTGTGTGGTTTTGGTTCTTATGGTTGGCATTTTTGTGTGTTTGTGGTCCATAACTCACCTGAAATGACCAATATACCCTTAAATATTTATTTTTTAATTTAATTTAATTTATTATTATTATTTTAATTAAAAGAAAAAAAAGAAATTACCACCCCAACCCTACTCACTTACTCTTTCTTTTTCTCTCCCTTTCTTCTACCGGTGCTCGGAAACCACCACCTACACCACCACTACCGCCCTTGCTTGTGCAGCACCTCCCCCTAGCAAACTCCGGTGATAATGGATTGCGACCCGAATACAAACTCCAACGATGTGACCCACTTCCCACCGTTCATTCGTCTTCTCCGGTAGCGTCATCGTAACGAAATATGTTCGTTTCCAGATCTGCAAATGAGACCGACGTACCGGATCTGTTGTTTAAACATGTCGATCTACAGATTTGTACCCGAGGAAGAAGAGAGACGTGTTGAACCTTTCAAATCGAAGTCATCATCTTTAAATCCTTCGATTTTCCAGCGTTTCAGGTCTTTGTGGATGGTGAAAAGATGGTGCAGCTCGACGAAGCTTTTGGTTTGATTTTTCCAGTGAGATCTGGGAGGGAGAGGCATCTGGTATGGTTTTCCAGGAAAAAAATTCCGATGAACACTGGTTTGGTGGTCAGTGGTGAAGGGTTATCAGGTTAAGGAAGGAGAGGTGTGGGCGAGGGAAATGGAGGTGGTTGGTAGCGAATGGTGGTGGGGAATGGCGATTGTGGCAGAAGAAAAGAGAAAGAGAGATTATGTATGTGTGTGTGTGTTCTTGAGAGGATGGCGGAGAACAACGATGATAGCAGGCGGATCGTGATGGTGAACGATGATGGTGGGATATGTTGGGTGTTCTGGGTGACATCTGGTAAGTGTTCCTGAGAGAGAGAGACTTTTAGTATATTTAATTATCTAAAAACATTAATATAATAATACAAAAATTAAAAATACAAATCTAAAGGGTATAATAGTCATTTAAGTGTATAGGGACTAAAAACATTAAAAAAATCCAAAATTTGACCACTATATACCACCAAACCTTTTTGAACCAAAAGTACAAAATTTTGCAAGGACTATTTTTACAATTTTGTCGCCAAAAAACATAAAAACCTATTGTTGTTAGTAATAGTGACCATTTTGATAAAATTTAAAAGTTTTGTGATCTTTTAAAATTTAAAACTAATTAGATGAACAAATAAACACAAAATTTAAAATTAAACGACTAAATATGGCATTCAACCCAAATAATATTTATAAATGAATCGATTTTGTGCAAATATTAGTCATCTTGAGATAGACATTGTAATTTATTGATAACAGACCCTTTATGCAATTCAAAGATAGTTTAAGGGCAATATCTGGAGACTGCTAAACAGTTGAGGGACTATCTTTGCAGATTACTCCAAATAAAAAAGAAAGGGGAAAAAGTTGGCCCTAGTTAAAGCGGATCCAATTGAATAATCGATTCCAGATGTGGAAGTTCCCGCTTCCAAATTTCTAATCCGATTGTGGAAAAACATTTACCGCCAATCTCTCTCTGTCTCTTTCTTCAACTTTTTCGTTGTGAAGCTCTTACACGGAGAGAGAGAGGATGTTGGGGAGGGTAAGGGCGTGTTCTTTGAGCTCTCTGGAGGTGTTAGAAATGGAGAGAACTCCTTCTAAGCTTCTCAAAGACGATTCTCTCTCCATCTATGGTTCGTACTCTTTTCTTCTTCTTTTCAATTATATTGCGAGTTTTTGATGTTAATCGGTTCTCCTTCTTTTCAATTGACATATTGCGAATTTGTGATGTTAATCGAATATCTTCTGGATTTTGTTTTATGCTTCTTTGTGATTTCGTTCATGGTTTCTGTTTGTGCGAGTCGATATGTAATGTAAGTAGTTTTGATTTGAAAAATTAGGAACGGAGCTGAATCTATGGAATTGTTGAGATTTTTTTAGTCCGGTTATTTAAGCGGATCGATTTCATCACCAAAAACATAAATCATGTAAATTAGCATGAGAATTACTAGATTTGACATCGGCAATTGAAGTGTACTTTTTCTCTTAATTAATCGAGGTGTTTGTGTTATTATCATTCTGTTGTGATAAGTGCTATTATTGTTTGTTATTTAGAGAAGACACTGCTGAAGCTACAACAAGGTTCTCATCGTGATCTAAGTTTAATTCCTGATGAATCTATGAACACTGATACAAGTCCTTCAATGGCTTCTAATGAAGCATCTATGAAAGTGAATGCTTCCATGGACTCTCTTCCAAGCTCAAAAGAGGAGCCACATGGGAATTTGTCAGTCCTTTACATGTTTTCAAGATACAAAACTTCCCGACATGACAATCCAAACTCATCAGATGGTAGTAATGCCATGGAAATGCAGAATGATTGCTCTTCAGCAAACACATCACTAAGTAATGATTCTTAACTTCAACTTGGATGTATAGTTTGGATATGAATCTGAATTCGAGTCTTTATTGTTATTGTGACAATTTGGAATCATAATGTTGTTCAATTCAATTCAAAGCAAATCCAAATACTTTTACATTGTTTATGCCACATTTTGGTGATCTATTACTCCAACAAAATTACAAGGTAAAAACAATTTCTCAAAATTAAACTGTCATTCCGATATCCCTCACAGAAATTTCATCTCTCATAAATGGATTACTTGCGAATGATGCTTCTCATTATTCTATCAGCCATGGAGCTTGAACTTGTGTCCATTCTGTTAATTCACCTTCTTTGAACCATAAAGCTGTCATGAAAAATTTACATTGGTCATGTTACAACATAAATCATATACAAGATTGTTTGGTTTCTTTGTATACCCATTTATATACTTGATATAGTATTATGTTCAGAATTTGTATGTGATACACTGACCACAAGCAAACATCAAAGGTTTTAAAACTATATTTGTTAAATATTCAAGATGAAGAACAAAAGGAATATCATAAGAAATTACTATTTTGCCCTTTTGAGGCATTCTTGCCATCCTTAATAATCATGAAATAAAGAAAGAAGAAAATGCAAGAACAAGATGATACCTATCTCCCGCTTCCCATTTTCAGGGCTATCACTCCCATGAACCACATTCCTGTTTATATAAAACAAAAACAATCATGATACAATTTAGTACACAGAAAAGTATATACAGAAAGCCAAATTCATAAATTTTATAGAAAAAAGGTAAAAGTTTAACCTTCCGGTTTGAATCACAAGATCTCCTCTAATTGTACCCGGTTCAGCTTGAAGTGGATTTGTTGCTCCAATTAACTTACGTGCTGATGCAACCACACCAACTCCCTCCCAAGCCTAAATAAAATAATTTCAGTAAGAATTTATATAAATTTTAAAACAAATAATCTAATAAATTTTTAATCAAAAATCTCGAGAAATAATACATTACCATACAAACAACAGGACCAGATGTAATGTAGCTAATCAGTTTGGGGAAGAAAGGCTTCGAGCTTAAATCCTTATAATGTTCCTATAAAACCATTTGCAATTGAAAATTGTTATTACTGATTAGTGTGTTAATAACCCTAAAAATCGGAGATAAAACAAACCTCACCTCTGCTAGATCTTTGGGGCAGTCGAAAAGCTTTAAGCCTTTCAATTTGAATCCCTTCTTTTCAAACCTAGAAATTATCTCTCCCACCTGTAATAATAATAATAATCAAAATCCACAACTGATATAATTAAAAAGAATATGGAGCTAAATTTATTATTACTAAACTTAAATTGAAAACTTACGAGTCCTCGTTGAACGCCATCAGGCTTAATCATAATATAGGATTCCTCCACTTCCTGTGAGAATTGATAACAACGAAAGAGAAGTCAAATCGAAGCTAATTAGGGTTTTAGTTTTGAAACGACTGAAGTGAAATTAGAAATGGAGATAATAACCATGGAAGCGACCAAATGAGGAAGAAATATGTTAGGGTTTTTCTTCTTCTTGGTTGCATGAATACGAGTCGATAGTGAATTGGAGAAAAGATGAGACGGCGACTGAAATGCAGCTAGATGACGGTGGCGGGTGGCGGAGACGGCGGTGGTGGGTAAGGATAAGTTAATTCTGGTGTCGGATGAAGAAGATGATAATCGGATTGACGATAGCGACGCCATTACGCTCTCCATTTTCCTCTACTTGAGCTGATAATGAAATGCTGTTAGCCTGTTATTACTGTATGTTTCTTGTTTTGGTTTTTCATCGGAAGAATTTACAAAAATGGTCCCTGGACTATTTCTTAAATGCATTTCTCTACTCATGAAATGTACAAATAATTATATAAATGAAGTTGGTTGATAGTCAATTCTTTTAAACGTATATACAATTTTATACCTGGATTCCATATGTTGATCCCTTTTTTGGAATGATTTGTCTGCTTATATCAACCTGTCTATTTAGGATGTTCATATTTATGTTTAAAAACTGATTATGGAATATTTAATAATCACAATTAAATGATTAATTATGATAAAATAAATTGTGGACGTTCAAAAAAAAGATAAAACAGATTGTAGCATGTACTATTCAAATATGTTTTCATTGTTTGAATGTTTGATAAGATATGGTTATTTTAAAAAATTAACAAATAAAATGATAAAATGATATTTTTGTCAGAAAAGAGTCATTTACAATAAAAATGAAAATTTTATATTAGCTTTTTTCCAAAAGGGCAAATGTTTAATCTATTTTACTCTTTTGATAATCAATCTTGTTAAATTGATATGAAACCAATAAATAGATTTGTAAATTAAGCAAATATATTTAACCCAAACAATAAAACCTGATTATGAAAGTCACAGCAACCAACTAACCATACACTAATGTTGACTATAAAGAAAGTGGCCTCTCTTGCGTTAAAGTCAAGCCCAAGTCATAATTTGTTGTAACTTTGTAGGTAGGCATGCACAAACCGGTTTATTTTATGAACCGGACCGGTTCAGAAAACCGGTTCTGTTCTGGTCAACGTAGTCAAAACCGGTTCACCTGGAAACCGGTTCGGTTCCAAACCGATCCAGCCTCAAAATAATCCGGACATATGTAAACCGGTTCAGAAAAAACCGGTTCAAAAACAGGTTCAAAACCGGTTCGGCGGATATAATGGTTTTTTAATTTGTTTTTTTTTTTTGTTTTTTTTTTTGTTTTTGGGCTAATAAATGTAAAATAGGAATGAGTTTTTTTTTGTTTAGATTATATTGCTTTTGATTGTCTTTAACCATAAACAAAAGTTTATGATTCACAGTAGGTTTTTGGGGTTGAAGGAATTGGGAAGGCAAGCCTTATGGTATTACACACACATACATATACACGTCCATATATATATATGTATCCCAAAAGGTTTTTTTCATTTTTTTTTCTTTTGTTTCTTGTTTAATAATATACATATCTTTTGATGTATTAACTTTTTTTTTGGTTTTAAATTTGATGTTTGTGTGTATGTACAAAAACATAATGTATGTATAAAATTGTTCAACTTGAATCAACACATTTTTTGGAGCAATTTTCAACCTTTTTTTTTCATTTTTTTATATTGGAAATACATAATACAACTTCAAACATAAAAACACAAAACATCCAAATCGTCAAACTAATACATCTTCAAATATAAAACATTGTTGTCGTCGTAGTCTTCATTCCAAGTCCGTAGTCATTGTATTTATTCGTCATCCGCCATGTCGTTGCGTAATCCTCTCTCATACTCGATCTCTTCTAGGGTGAGTGGCACCGACATTCCCATCGCTACTTCTTCCTCATGTACTCGTGCTTCGACATGCAACGGTGTGCCTTCTAGTACTTCAGTGTCTTGTATCCTTTCCACGCCATCAAGGTAACATTTCAAGCAAATGCACACTTCCACCGATAAAGGGGTTAGTTTTGTTCTTCTTGGTGATATTACCCTGCCACTAACAGAAAAAGCCGATTCCGAAGCTACCGTAGAAGCTTGGGAGCTTAGTAGATCACGGGCCATAGCGGCTAGAATCGGAAATTGGGTTTCCTTTCCTTTCCACCAAGCCAAAATATCAAAATTTTCAAACTCTTGAATACTCATTTGAGACAAGAAATCGGAACCAATGTACCTTCCGAGCTCGCTACTAGGGGTGTTAGACCGAGCTCGTTTGGAAATTTCATTCCTCAAAGTATTATAAAGCCTAATTGTTTCGTTATTTTGGTAAGAAGTGGATCCGGATGCCCCCGTATTTTGCATCATGTCGTGAATGTTTGTTGAACCATATTTTGTTAAATAAACTTCAAACAAATTTTGAAAAACTTTGTTAAATTTTGAAACTTCCTTTGATGCATAATCAATGTCATCATCCAATAAACCCAAATCGTAACAAATATTTTCAATTAAAGTCTCAACCCCCCCAACATTTAGAGTCGGATTCAAAGCGGCGGAACAAGTAATAATGGGAGACATTTCTTGAAAATATTTTTTTAACTTTGCTTTCATCGGTTTCATCATATTAGCAAACATTGTGCTCCTCATTTTAAACTCATTTATTTTCGCACACATTAAAAAAATTTGGTTTAAAACTAAACAACTTGTAGGATAATAAACCCCCGATAAAAAAGTAGTTGCTTTTTTAAAAACATCAAGCATGTCCGTAACAAGTTTGATAGTATCCCAACTTGATTCCGGATAAGCCGTAACCTTATTACGGTCCGCAAAGTTGTCATGGAACATTTTTAAAGTATCTTTTTGACGTAAGACACATTCAAACATTTCGCAAGTGGAGTTCCATCGGGTATTATTTTCCCAATTCGGACCTAAAAAGAGGGCATTCGCATCGACACAAAATTGCATATAATTATGATATCGAGCGTTACTAGAACTAAAAATATCTTTTAGCATGTCTTTAAAACCATCTTTTATAGTTTCAATGCTAGTTAGTCCATCTTGCACAACCAAATTAATGATATGTTCAACACATCGACTATGAAAAAAAACACCATCGCAAATTGGTTTATATTTTAGTTTTAGTTGTCCAACCGCAACGGTGTTGTTTGAAGCATTATCAAAAGATATAGAAAAAATCTTTCCTTCAAGTTTATAAGTTTTGATCACACAATCTAAAATTTTAAATAAATTTCTACCGGTGTGCGGGTACTCAAACAATTCAAACGTAATCGTACGCTTCATCATTACCCAATTAGTTGGATTAATCCAATGAGCGGTAACACAAAGGTACGCATCCGGTGAACCGTGAGGAGCCGTCCAAACATCACAAGTTAAATTCACACCGGTTTCTAAATATTGAAATCCTAAAATCATTTCATTTTTTGCAAGTTTCCACATTTCAATACAATCACGTCTAATAGAAGTACGACTCACATGGCAATATCGTGGTTGGAGAGTATCTTGGATGAGTGAAGTCAATTGTTTGTTGTCGAAGTGGTCAAAAGACAAGCATTCTTGAATCACGAACTTCGCCATCCTATCCCGAACTTTAGCCATATTGTAACTCCACAATGTTGCATCATTCGCCATTGTTGTTTGATTATGTCCCGGCCCAAATTTCACCGCGGGGCATCTTTTGGTCATATGAGTTTTTAATGTCGAATTCCCATCTTCATTAAAAAAAGCACCACATTTCTTGCATCGCGTTTTTTTTATACCGTTCGACATTACACACAAATCATAGTTGCACCAAATAGCCGGATTTCTATTTGTTTCTTTGATGCTAACAACGGTAAGATTGTTTGATGAATCTCCATCACCAACGGAAGCCGAATCCATTGTTTGAATTAACAGCGTTTTTTGAACTAAGAGAGATTTTTTTGAGGTTTGGTTAAGGTAAAGTTGAGACCTAAACATCTAATACATATATATACTATAAGGAATGGTTAATATGGTAAAAAAGGAGCCAAAATCGGGTCTTCAACAGCCTCAAACGACTATATAACCGTTAGGAAAAGACAAAAAAACGGTAATACTCGAAAACCGGTTCACCAACGGCTATATTCGCAAACCGGTTCAGCAAAAACCGGTTCCAAACCGGTCTCAAGGGTAGAAAGTGCGAATTGGTCCAATCCGGTGGTTCGGTTCAGCATCGATTCGGTTCTTACGTGAACCGGTTCAGGGCCAAACCGGTTTTCAGCGACCGGTTCGGTTCCTGAACCGGTTTTTTTGCACACGCCTACTTGTAGGTAAGGGATATGTTGAAATTGAAAAGAAGAAATTAAAGACTTTAGAGTAAAATACACATATTATCCTTGAATTATTTAATAATTGCAAGTTTGGTAAGTTAAATTTTTTATTTAACACTTTTGATATGTAACAATCTGTTTCATGACTCATGAGCTCAAACTATTAACAACAATAAAAATACTAATAACAATAGACCATCGAATCTTGGAATGCGATGTTGATGAACCTCATTTTGGTGTTGAAAAACAATTTTTAGTTTGTAAAATTAGTTTATTTAAATTTCAGTTTATTGCAGACAGTAGTATGTAGATGTTAAAAAACAAACATTCTTCTTATTATAGGCTGCAGCTGTTTGGTCCACCTCTTCTACTGTAGAGGTTTGCAGAGGTGTTTCGCAGACTTCATGCATTTTCAATTTGAAAAAACAAACATTACCTAAGCCACTTTGTTTGTTGATGGTTATGAGGTGGCTAAGACCAAATACGCCACAATAACATACATAACACATTTTGTTTGTTTGTTTTTTTTTCTAGTAGAAAGTCTCACCTAATCAACATGTTAATTAAATGAGTCGGACTTTTTAAACACAACCAAACATGTTACACAGATGAGTTGACATCAACCTCACCATTTTTTTTAATTCAATTTGTCAAATAAACAGTTAAATTCGAATTGGCTCATTTAAATTTCAAAATATAAATTAAAAAAGAAACTATTTCACTTAGTTAAATAAGTTATAAACTCATTTAATTTTTGGATGTGAGGAAAAAAACAACTATAAGCAGGGGCTGACCTTAGTGGAGCCCGGGGGGTCACAGGCCACTGCTCAATTTCCGACACGTAGTGTAATTTTTTTTTTTTGTTTTTTCTATTAGGTGCACCGGCTTGAAGTACGAGTGACACCCATACTAAAACATTCCGCGCCCGCCACTGACTATAAGTATAAATCAATTATTCAAATAATGTTGAACATGACTAACTTCTGTATCAATGATAACTAGAATTTCAACGAGA